CTTCAGTGTTTTCAGGATACCACTTATTTGGCATGATATCTATATTTTGGGATGGAAATCCATTTTCCTGTTGTTATAATGGGTTATCTTGATCCAACATCCAAAATGGTTTTCATTTGCTTAGAACTTTTATGTTGCTAACCTTGTCACAGAATTCACAACAAAGATCTGGACTACATAATTTTTGGGAAACCGAATCCGTTTGTATTCAAGAATACTGAAGCAATTTTGAGTCAACTTATGCCATCTAGTCATCTTTCTCTGTTGGAGAATAGTGGAGTCTCTGAATCACTTCCTTTCAAAACTCTTTATATGATTGGTGACAATCCTGCAGTTGATATCAAAGGTGCACGGCAGGTTGGTCTATATACACCTTTTGGTTTCTTTGCATTGTCTTCTCAATCATGTGCAATCAACTGCATTGTAGTTTGAAGATAACATGTTTTTTTTATGCCATTTAATTTCCAGGCAGGGAGTCCTTGGTTTTCTATCTTGACAAGGACTGGCGTTTTCCGGGGAGACAGTAATCACACAGAGTATCCGGCTGACCTGGCAAGTAACTTGATCAATTTGATTGATGCACCTCATTATTTCTACTTGCATCTGTATTCTATATATTCTGGAAATGTGCATCTGCTCTCTTAGTCCATCTTCCTAGTTCCAGTGTTTCACCCATTGTTTTGCAGGTCGTTGACACTGTGGAGGAGGCAGTGGACTTTATTATGAGCAATGAAATTATTCTTTAGGCAAATTTTTTGAAGGCGTTAATATTGGAGGATTTGTGCCATGCCTTCGCGGCCTATTTTGCATCTGAATCAACTATGCATACACAACAAATTTGTTCTACATTTTTCTGAGAATTTCATATCAGGTTACTTCATTTTATCCAATATGACTCAACAACCTCGTGGCATATTTTGATATGAATCTTAAACTCATTCAAATTTAGTGTTTTTTTCCAGCCTCAGTCGAAGTTATAAAAATTTTTTCAACTAAGGACATATCCTAGCTTTGGACCAAGTTCTCTCCCATAAGCGTAGTTCGTCTTACATAAATTATGGAGAGCGTGATTTATGTAAATTGCAAAATAACATTACTGCATAACTTTTTTATCCATAAAAATAGTTGTAAAAACATACTTAATAGAAGATTATTTGATTAAGATAATTGATATTTTCTTTAATTTTTTTTAAAAATGGAATTCACCAGGAATATTAAGATTGGGGAGGCATTTTGAAGAACAAAAAAGATTTAGGGTCTTGTCTGTAATTTCCATCCTTCTCAAAACTGCCGTGTCCCTTTGTTCTGCAAATAGGATAAGCCCCGCCCCTTCTATCCTCTCCAGTCTCCACCCACAGCCATGGAAACTACGCTCCTCTCCATCCCTTCCTTCCACCCATCGTCCTTCCAAACCCTAATACTAAAACCCTCAAACCCACTTGTCTGCAAACCCAAACTCGTCGGCTGCAAAGCCCCTCAGTTGCTGTCCATCAGAGCTGCCATTTCCCGCTCCAGGAAAGAGGAAACCGTCGAGGCTGTCAAGATCCAGCTCGAAAACTGTTATCTCCTCGCCGGAATCAACTACGAGGGCTTTACCGTGAAGCAATTTCAAGTCCTGCGCAGAGCCTTCCCGGAATCGTCGAAGCTACTCGTGGCCAAGAATACGCTGGTAATCAAGGCCATAGAGGGCACCCCTTGGGAACCCCTCAAACCTTGCATGAAGGGGATGAACGCCTGGCTCTTCGTCCACAGCGAGGAGATCCCCGCTGCGATTAAGCCTTTCAGGACCTTCCAGAAGGAGGAGAGGTTAGAAGAAAATGACTTTGTGGGTGCAGTTTTCGAGGGCAAGTTTTATGGCCCTGGGGATTTTAACCAGCTGGAGAACATGCCTACCAGAGCAGAGGTTTATGCCAAGATGTTGGGAGCTTTGCAGGGGCCGGCAATAGGGCTTGTGAGTACACTTAAGGCGCCAGCCAGGGATGTAGTGATGGTCTTGAAAGCTTATGTCAAGAAGCTTGAGGAGAAAAGTGGGCAATAATGGAGTATAAACTTGCAAGTTAGAGATTCTTGATTAGTAAGTGTAATCTAAGAACCCATTTTTCTGTTGGTGTTAAAGTGAAAGGTTGTCACAATATGTTTGGTTTTTGTAGAATGTTGATGTGAAATCCAAAATTTGAATTAGTGATGTTTGCAATTCCATATTTCCCATATTTCCATTGCATATTAGATTGGTGTTTATTCTTATTATGTG